GGAAAGGAAGAAGATTTACTATGGATAAGTTAGGGATTTATTTCTAAGCTTCATAAGACTCCACTAAAGAGGAAACTGCAGTCAGTTACAGAATTTACAAAATCTTAAACAAAAAAAATTGTGTAAGGGAAACACTTGTTCACATACTGATGTCAGGAAGAAATTTTTCCTGTGTGTTTCCATAGAGTGTGGCGTGTAATATCATGAACAATTCATACCCATTCCAACATAAAAATAACAAGCATTGTGGCTGACTTCTTTTTTTAAAAATTATTTTATTTATTTATTTATTTGACCAGAGAGAGACAGAGGGTGAGAGTAGGAACGAGAGGAAGTAAGAAAGCAAGCCACCACACCAGATTCAGGACTTGAACCCTGGTCAGCCATGTGGGAGTGTCCAGCGCCTTAACCACCATGCCACCTGCTGGTCCCGTGGCTTACTTCTTATAACCTTTCTCAATGTCAGTCTATGCCATGACCTCACCACACACTTGAGTAGAAGCTGTGCCTTCAGGAGCAAAGCCACAAGGCCCACTGCCCCGGTGATCTGGCCTTAAACAGGAGGCCTTAAACAGTACACAGGCTCTCCATGGGAAGGACTGGATTGGTTTATTTTAGTTTTTAAAAGTTTCGGTCTCAGGACCAGCAGATGGCATAATGGACTCCCATGCGGTCGACCATGGTTCAGGCCCCGGACCTGGTGGCTTAAAAACTCAAACCGGGTGCCCGTGGGTATGTGCCCAGAACACTGAGAAGAGAAGGAATTGCTGTGTGGTCATTCCCCCTGGAGGGTGATTTCTTGCTTTCTGTCTCGGGAGAGCATATGTGCCCTATTGCAAAAATCTCTCTCTAAAAAAATTAAAAAACGTTCAGTCTCATCAATCAGTACTTCGAGAACTGTAATGAAAGTATCATAACAATGACAAGTTGCTTTTGGAATGTGTAAATACATACTTTACATTTCTGCACTAACCTTGTCATGGACTAATAGTTTGCTGAGGCCCCTCACTGCAGACACCCTTTCAGTAGTCTCCAGGTGACTTTTTCTATAGACTGCTTGTATCAGAATCAGCAAGATGAGCAGTGAAACACTCCTGCCTGGAACCAGCAGATGGCGTAATGGTTACATTGCTGAACTCTCAACTTGACTGGCTGGAGTCCCAGACCCAGCAGCTTAAAACTCATGCTGGGTGGGACCAGCAGTTAGCGTAATGGCTGTGTCACTGGACTCCCATGTAGTCGACCGTGGTTTGTGTCCAGGACCCGGTGGCTTAAAACTCATTCTGGGCATGTGTGCAGGCGTGCCCAAGATCCCGAGAGGAGAATGGAGGAGAAGGGATTGCGGCATGGCCATTCCCCCCTGGGGGGTGATTTCTTGCTTTCTGTCTCTCTGTCTCTCTCTGTCTGAGCAAAAGCCTTTCCAAAAAAAGAAATCCTCATGCTGGCTGTGTGTGTGCCCAAGATCCTGAGGAGAATGGAGGAGAAGAGATTGCTGCATGACCATCCCCCTGGGGGGTGATTTCTCACTTTCTCTCTCTGTGTCTCTCTGGTGAGCGCATGCTCCCTATAGCAAAACACTCCTGCCTATGCCAGCTCTCATTTGTATTTGCATAAGTATGTGAATCTTGATTTTTTTCCCCCACTGGGCAGCCGAAGTAGGAGAGAAATCACGTGGCTTATAGGCTCATTTTTGCTTTCTTCAAAAACAGCCTGTTTTTATTGTTTGACTTTTTAGTGAGTAAATATTAAGAATTTAAATTTCTATGGGAACCAGCAGTTAGCGTAATGGCTATGTCGCTGGACTCCCACGTAGTCGACCGTGGTTCGTGTCCCGGACCCGGTGGCTTAAAACTCACGCCGGGCACGTGTGCGTACGTGCCCAAGATCCCGAGAGGAGAATGGAGGAGAAGGGATTGCGGCGTGACCATCCCCCCTGGGGGGTGATTTCTCGCTTTCTGTCTCTATGTCTCTCTCTGTCTGTCTGGCGAGCGCACGCGCCCTATAGCGAAAAAACCTCTCAAAAAAAAAAAAGAATTTAAATTTCTATAAAATACAGTTATACTAACAAAATATTGCTTTTATCTGATGGATATATTGAAATTTTATGTAAGAATTTGTGTAAACATTTGAAAAGTATAGACTGGAAGGAATAGCTAGCCTACACCTTTTTAGGCAATCTTCTGAAACAGTTTTTTTTTTTTTTTAACTAATTTTTTTTTTTTAAGAATTATTTTGTTTAACTTTATTTATTTATTTTAGTTTGACCTGAGAGAGACAGAGTGGAGGGGTAGTGAGAAAGCAAGCCACCAAGTCTGGACTCCAGCCATGACTGGCCATGTGGGAATCCAGCACCCTTAACCACCATGCTACCTGCTGGCCCCGAATATAATCTTACTAAATATAAAAATAGGCCAACAAAGAGTTCTTGGAAAAATAGAAAGCATAGCATTGCTCAATATAAGGAATTTTAAAATAGAAGGGGATGCCTCATAGAGAAATAGCTGCCTGGTGGGATTTGGCTCAGGGAGCTCCGGTATTTAGGGGAGCTTAGTCAAGTTCATATCTTCATGTCTCTTCCATCTCTGAGTCAGTACACCAACCCTTCATTCTTGATTTCTTTGCCAATGAAAAAAATTTTCTGTTATAACAGCCTCATTTTTTTTTTTCTACTAAAACTAGAGGTTTTGAAATTTATTATCTTTTTAAGTAGTTGAAGTTTAAGTTTGTATACATGGCTTGTAATCCACTTTTGGGCAAAAATCATTTTCAGGTAGACTAGAAGAAGCTTTGGATCCAGATGAAGAGCGGAGAGTCCGTGTCAGGAGACAGGAGCAAGCTGTTCGATCTGCCCGGATGCTCTACGTCCTCCAGCAGCAGGTACGGAAAGCATAGGGAGATGTGAGACACCCCAGCCTTGCAAACTGCTTTCTTTGAGAATGTCAGTTTTCCTTTCCTTTCAGAAGGATTAGCACCAAAGGATTCTACATGAATTCTAATGGATTTATGAGACTAACTTTCCTGAACATGGGGACAAATAATTATTTTTGTCACCTGCCTCTTTGTGCGTGTGCATGTGTATGTGAGTGTGTGCGTGATTAAACTCCTTAAACAGTGGTTCCTGACTTTTGGAGATCATAGGCTCTTGTTTTTAAGAATTTATTTAATTCTATTTATTATTTTTTAAAAATTTGCTATAGGGCACACAGAGAGAGAAAGTGAAAAAGCGAGCCACTAGGTCTGGACTCAAACTATGATTGGCCTTGTGGGAGTCCAGTGCCCTAACTACCATGTTACCTGCTGGCCCCATCATAGACTCTTGAGATCTACATATGAACAGTCATTTCTTTCCCCAAAACCAACTTATATATTATACAGCACCAATTTTGTTTTTGTTTTTGCATGTGCACTCACCAGAGAGAGAGAAAATCCTTGAGAAATCACCCCCCAGGGGAAGGGCCATGCCACACGATCTCTTCTCTTCTATTCTCCTTTTGGAATTTTAGGCACATGTGCTCATCATGGTTTTCAAGCTGCTGGGTCTAGTCCTTACTTAAACCATGTTTGGCCATGTGGGAATGCAGCGCTTTAACATCCACGCCACCTACTTGGCCCTATACAGCACATCTTTGCATATGAAGTCAGGTGGATCATTTCTCCTGAAGTGCTTGGTTCCCAGGTATGAACCCTTGTTAGTTCCCACTTGTGTCATTCTTATAAGGAACTAGAAACTTGTAGATTGTAAATATAATAGTTTGAATATTCTTTTTTTAGAGTTATTTTTTAAATTTAATGGTATTATTATTATTATTGTTTCTCAACCTGCTTCAGGGCACATATGCTCACCAGAGAGAGAGAGAGAGCGAGAGAGAGAGAGAAAGCCATCACATCCAGGACTCAAATCACCATCGACCACGTGGGTGTCCAGTGCGTTAACTACCATACCACCTGCTGGCCCCTCAATTATTCTTTATTAGCCAGTAAAGAATGAAAACTGTTATGTATCTTTCAGGACACATTTAATGGTAGAAAAATAGGCATTTGCATTCTTACATTGTGATCGATTTTTGAAAAATCCTTGTTTTTAACTTAATTGCCTTATTAATAAGCTTTTAACTCATTTCTGGTCACATGTTGGTCTTACTACTTGAACCAGAAATTGCACTTTTTCATTTAAAAGAAAAACCCTAGTTAGATTTTGTTCTATATTCTTTTTAGGTTCTATTTCAGTCCGTATTTATACTGCTGCCCTAGAGAGTGTTCTGAGACATGAATCATACCATGTCAGATCTTTGCTTAAAAGATTTCAGTGAGTCACTTAACGTGAGGAGGAAAGCTAAATTTTTTAGCATGGCACCTAAGACTTGATGACCTGGCCCTCTACCTTTCCAGAGTCACCTCCACCTTCGCTCCTTCGTTAAATCCTATTACACTGGGGACCAAAGGATGGAAGGTGAACACTGTGCTCTATTCATCATCTGGGATGGAAACTGATCATTATTTTTTGGGTGCATGAATGAAGAGCCTTTTCTCATTTTCAAGTGACTTGAGTTAATAATGGTTGTATCTGGAGAAGACAAGATGTATCCATTTTTACAAAAAAGATCAATGGAAAGGTACGAAGTTTTCATTTTTTTCCCCCTTTACAAAACAGGTAAAAGAAATCCAGGAAGAATTGGATAAGTTGAGTCCACATAAAATTAAGCACACTAAGAAGGTATGATAAAGTTAAATTATAATTAACACTTATAATTTATATTTCATAGTTTTTTATTAGTACTAGGTGTGGGTTCTCTGCTGATAATGGTTTCAGTGCTTGTAGAAGACTATTGAAGGAATGAGCACCTTCAATATTCTAAATATTAGGTTACCTTCTAAGGAAAAAGTTCAAAAAGTATACTTTTATTGTTGCTGCTGGTAAAAGAAACTGAGGATAGGAAGGAAAATACTATTTCTTATATATTTTCTTTAAACTTTAAGCATCTCTTGATTATGAAAGTTTTTGCAGAACGAAGCACTTTTTATAGAAAGAAGATACGGATAAATATTCTTTTTTTTTTTAAGAATTATTTTTATTTAACTTTATTTCTTTATTTTTATTTGGATTAGAGAGGGACACAGTGAGAGAGAGCGAGAAAGAGAGTGAGAGAGAGAATGAGAGAGAGAAAGTTGAAAAGCAAGCTGCCAGGTCCGGGACTCGAACCACAGTTGGCTCTGTGGGAGTCCCGCACCCTTAACCACCACACCACCTGCCGGCCCTGGGTATAAATATTCCTAAGGGTCAGGTTACTGTTGGGAAATCTGGAATACTGAAACATCTTCTCACATCTTGTTTTTATCCCTCCATCTTTTCTCTTGGCAGTCATGGGCAATGTCTAGGCTGGCGGCTGCCCATCGAGGAGCCATTCGGGCCTTACAGATGTTTGTCACTCAGTTCACTGACCGAGGGGAGCACCCAGTTCCTGCTAGGTGTAAGGAATTGGGCAGCCTTATCCGCCAGCTTTCACTTTGTTCTGCCAAGCTGGATGCCAGTCCTTCTGTCCCTGATGTGGTTATAGATATCCTGCAACAAATTGAGGTATGAAATTGTCTTCAATTTTTATTAAAAGTATGTTGTTTTGGGAACCAGCAGTTAGCGTAATGGCTGTGTCACTGGACTCCCACATAGTCGACCGCGGTTCGCATCCTGGACCCAGTGGCTTAGAACTCATGCCAGGCGCGTGTGTGTGCGTGCGTGCCCAAGATCCCAAGAGGAGAATGGAGGAAAAGGAATTGCGGCGTGACCATCCCCCCGGGGGGGTGATTTCTCACTTTCTGTCTCTATGTCTCTCTTTGTCTGGCGAGCGCACGTGCCCTATAGTGAAAAACCTCTCCAAAACAAAAAAAAAAAGTATGTTGTTTCTAAGCAGGAAAGTAATGCTTACTGTCACATAGTTTCATTAGGATTTATGGCAGATATAAGACAAAGATGATCCCTAGTAAGTTAAAGCTTTGCAGAGGGCAGGAGCAGCACTTTTTTATTGTTACTATTATTATTTTAACTGTTTTACAGCCTGATCTGTATTACTGTATTTTACTTCTTTGAGAAGTAAAATTTGGTGAGTTGAGTATAAGACTTAAACAGTTTTAAACCAGGTCCATTAATTAAACAGAATGTTCCATTTCCCAGCCATACCATTTAATAAAGAATTTATTAGTATACCAATGGAAAAAGTAAAGCATTGTGAGATCAGTGCTTAGGTTAGAATATCAATTTTCAATCTAGACGGAGTTTGGGAAAGAAGAAACATTTAAAGATACATGGAGGGTGGAGATCAGCAGGTGACATGGTGGTTAAGGCACTGGACACTCCCACATGGCCGACCACGGTTCGAGTCCCAGACCTGGTGGCTTGCTTTATCACTTTATCTCTCTCTCTGTGTGTGTCTCTCTCTGGTCAAATTTTAAAAAATGAATGAATAAATAAAATGAAATAAATTATTTAAAAAAGATACATGGAAGGAAGCTTCAGATCTAGTGACTTTCAGAAGTCAGAACTGCATGTACAAATTGGGAATGCATAGTGTTCTTAGTTCTTGTTTATGACAAAGACAATCATAGCATGTCATTAATTTTATAGGTCTCTGAACTTTGCAAATACATAATTCTGCCATTTGATCCTTACTGCAGCAATGTGATTTGCAATTAGTTTTATTATTATTGTGTAGATTTAAGATATTTAAAAAGAAAGCAAAGATCAGAGAGATGGCACAGTTACTTCTCTTGAGAGTTAAAAATCAAATTTCTATTATCTGACTCCTTTACCAGTCTTTATTTCTACTATGTCTTACATTTTCATCTGCAAATAAAGAGATAATCTTTATGTTAGTTTGGTATGTAAAGTATTAGCCATGGAGAAAATGGGTGTAGTGGAGAGAATTCTAGACTAAGTGATATGCCAATTCTGCCATTAAGTAGCTCTTGCCGGATTTTAAGGCCCATTCTGCCTTTATAATTCCATTATCTAGAAAATTTGTTTGTGATTTGCATTGGTTACATTCATGTATATAGCACTCACTATCTAGAATGTTACCATCAAACGCAGACACCAGAACTTTAGAAGCAATATGAAGTCACATGATGCTTTTAAACCTGTCTATAAGAAACATTTTTAGGCCAAAAAGATTTCCTGTAGAAGACATAGCTTTATAATCCTAGAATGGTTGTCAAGAGATTATCTAGTCCCTCGCCTAAAATTTGAGCAAAGTTATCTTTAATGTAACATTTCGTTTCTTTTTCTTAAAGATTTTTGCTGCGGGGCATATGTACTTACCAGAGAGACAGAGAAGGAAAATGAAAAACCACCCCCCCAGGGGGATAGTGAACACTGCTGAAGTCCCTTCTCTTCCATTCTCCTCGGGATTTTGGGCATGTACACACACATACCCAATGTGATTTTTAAGACACTGGTCTAGGAATTGAACTGCAACCAGACATGTGGTAGTCCAACACCTTAACTACCATGGCACCTGCCAGTCCCAAATAGTATTTCTTAAACATGTTTATCTCCTCTACTTTAGAAAATAGCAGTGCAAGAACTTTATTGTCTGCCTTGTTGATGTGCTATACCATTTCATTATACAGCTAACTCTCTTCTTGTTACCTTGTTATTGTCAGTACTCAGCCTCCCTGATTCTGTTCAGATCTTGATTTGTACTGACCAGGGTACCAGCATAGTGGCCTAGTAGTTATAAGGGAACTGGATCCCACATGGCTGGCTATGTGATTCAAATCCTGGCCCAATGGCTTGAAAAATATGCCAGACACATGTGCACGTATGTCTAAAATTCCGACAAGATGGAGAAATGGAGGAGCAGGAATTGTGGTGTGACCCTTATTGGGGGTGTTTTCTCTCACTACCTCTCTGTCTCTCTGTGGCAAGTGCATGTGCCTTTGCAAAAATTTAAAAATAAAAGAATTTTTTGCTGACTAGATGAGATTAAGTCCTCACTGCCCAGTAATGAGTGGGTAGATCCTTATTAGAGGATGTGCTTTTTTGGGGGTAGGGGGGATAGAAATCTACAATTATTGTGATAGACAACCTTTATTTATTTATTTTTTTTGAGAGGTTTTTGCTATAGGGTGTGTTTGCTTGCTAGATAGACAGAGACAGAGAGATAGAAAGGGAGAAATCACCCCCCAGGGGGGATGGCCACGCCACAATCCCTTCTCCTCCATTCTCCTCTCAGGATCTTGGGCATGCACGCACACGCGCCCGGCGTGAGTTTAAGCCACCAGGTCCGGAACTTGAACCACAGCAACATAGCCATTACGCTAACTGCTGGTCCCGTGATAAACAACCTTCTAAAGTCACTGGAACTGCTAGGTGTCCTTCAGTGTATGAAAATATATGTTAAATGTAGTATATTTACCTGTTTAAATACTACTTGAGTTTATGAAGTTTTTGTTGAGAATTAAAATGCTTTAAAACCATATGGGAGGGACCATCAGATGGTGTAATGGTTATGTTGCTGGACTCCCTCGTAATGAACTGCGGTTCGGGTCCCAGACCTGGTGGCTTGAAATTCATGCCAGGGGCATATATGTGTGTTTGCAAAATCCTGAGAGGAGAATGGAAGAGAAGGGATTACAGCATGGCCATCTCCTCCGGGGGAATGACTTCTCACTGTCTGTCTGTCTGTCTCTCTTCTCTCATGAAATTAAAAAACAAACAAACAAACAAAACACCATGTGGGATTGGGCCATCAGGTAGCATGGTGGTTAGGTGCTGAATTCCATATGGCTGACCATGCAGTTTGAGTCCCATACCTGGCAGCCTTAAAAATATGCCAGGTGTGTTCATGTGTGTGCCCAGAAACCCGGGAGGAAGATGGAAGAGAAGGGACTGTGGTGTGGTTATCTCCACCAAGGGATGATTGCTTACTTTTCCTCTCCCTGCCTCATTCTGACAAGCGCACACACCCTATGGCAAAACTAGAATAGAAAAAAGAAAAGAAGCATGTGGGATTGACTAGAGTTAATTTCTAAAATTATGTTCCTTAATTTTAGAACTTGGATACCTTTAAAAGTACTCATAGGGAACCAGCAGTTAGCGTAATGGCTATGTCACTGGACTCCCACGTAGTCGACCGCGGTTTGCGTCCTGGACCCGGTGGCTTAAAACTCACGCCAGTGAGTGTGCATGCATGCCCAAGATCCCGAGAGGAGAATGGAGGAGAAGGGATTGCAGCGTGACCATCCCTCCTGGGGGGGTGATTTCTAGCTTTCTGTCTCTCTGTCTCTCTCTGTCTGTCTGGCGAGCGCACGCGCCCTATAGTGAAAAACCTCTCAAAAAAAAAAAAAAGTACTCATAGTTGTTATCTCTTTGCTATGGGTTTTAGAGAGCTAAACATGTAAAGGAACATGCAGAAATCATTTTCCTTAATTAGATTTCCTAAATAATAACATTTCAAAATGAAGTTAACATTTCATTAACCATTGGAAATAGCCATTTAATTATACATATCTCTGGAGTTTGCATTTTTAATTTTGTGGTTATCTTTTGTCAGATAACATAAGAGAATAATTGACTGTTTTCGTGGTAGGCTTTGGAATCTCTTCTGGAAAAAAAGCTGTCACCAAAAAAGGTGAAGAAATGTTTCAGTGAAATTCGGAGCAGATTTCCTATTGGTAATCACAGGACCTTAGAAAAATGGCCAAGTACATCACCAAAGAGCAAGAGGAGACCCTTGGTAGCAAAGGAGACATTTGCGCAGGAAGCAAGTCGACCTCCGGTGGCAAAGAAGCTCCTTGCTGGTATGTGACTCGAAGTATATTTACTGCGAGGGATTTTACTGTTTGAAATTCTCTGGGCTGAAACAGTGACTGCACTGAGGGGAGAGTCAGGGTTCAGAGTGCAGTCCACGGTCTTAATCCCGACAGGATTAAGGATCTTGTAAACAGTTGGTTGTTGTTGTTGTTTTTAACTCATGTTGTAGAGCTTTATGTTTAACTTGTTTGTATTTATGAGATTAATGACGTATTTGAATTTATTTCTACCTTATTTTGTTTCTCATTTGGCAAAGCTTTTTTGTTGTTATTTACCATATTAATCAAGGTTCTCTTGTTTCACGTTGTTTTTTTATGTTGTTGTTGATTCAAAAACTATATATCAGTATGGTATTCAGTTGATTTATTTCACAGTATGCCACCATTTTGTAATAGCTCAGTGTTCCATCTCTAACATGAGTGTAACTGCAAAAGATAGGAAAAGCTAAGACCTTTTTCCTTACTCTCAGTCACTCAGTTCTCTACATACTTCACTTCTGACGCTAGATGTGTGGGGTTTTTCCCTGCCCTAGCACCAAGCATTTCTCCAGTGGACAGTGACTGGGAGTCCAGTAATTTAATTCAGTTCTAACACTGTCTACTCGGAGTTAAGAGTCAGATCCCACAAGTGAAGGGTTCCATCTCATAAGACTGCCTTCACCGCAGACACCACTCACATGCCTCAGACAGTGACCTGTGCTTTTGACTGATTAGCTATAATCAGGGTTACCATAGCTCCTTCCTCAGGTTTGCTAGGCTAGCTTGTAGAATTTAAGGAAATGCTTTATTTACCCATTTATTAGAAAGGGTATTACAAGGACACAGGTGAGCAGTCAGATGGAAGACACACATTGGCCAAGGTTTGTGGAGAGGGACGTGGAGCCTCCGTGGCCTTTCCAGCTGTGCTGCCCCCCAGGCACCTGCACGTGTTCAACAGCCTCGCAGCTCTCTGAATCCTGTGGTTAAGGAATTTTTATGGAAGTTTCATCACCTAGGCATGATTGATTATTAACTCAGTCTCTAGCCTGTGTCTCTCAGAGCATGGGCCTAAATGTTCCAAATTTGCCATCACAGCTCTCTTTCTGGTGACCAGCTCCTGTCCAGGAGTCCACCAATCATCACTTCTTTATAGAAAAAAGATGCTTCTATCATCTAGGAAGTGCCAAAGATTAGGAGCTTTGAGGTTTAGAGACCAAATATTAGACAAGATACTCCTTGCATCCCTGTTGTTCAGGAAATTACCAGGGTTTTAGGAACTCATGCCAGGAACTAGGGCAGAGACAAAATATATATTCTTTTATTCTGTCACAGTAACAAAACCTGCTTTACTCCATTACTGTTCGATGTTTATTCACTATAATGATACTCTGTTCCCTTCTCTGATAGGCAGGTAGAATTATTATAGTGTCTTCCTTTTAATCAGAAATCTGCCTTGCGCACATTGCCCTTGTGGATGAGTATCTTATCTGTCTACGTTCTTTGAGACTAGCCCAGTGGCTGCACATCTTTAGGCACTTAAGTGTTTGTTGAAAGAATCTGTAAAGAAGTGTAATTGAGTAAGAAAGGCTTCGGAGCAGCTAATCGCAGTAATTTGAATTCTAGGTGGGGACTTTGCTTTTGATCCTCTGGAGAAAATTCAGAGAGCATTCTAGGCCTTCACACAGCGGTGTGTTTCCTAAATGATATAGAAGATGAGAGGTGCCCATCTACTGACTAGTTTAAAATACAGAGCAGCCTCAGATAGAAGTTGGGAAGTTGAATAATGTAAAACTCATTGTAGGAACAAAGGTAGGAAAGCTAGAAGATGAATGGGGAAAACTTGGATCAAGAAGACTTAGGTTTGGGGCCGGTAGGTGGTGTGGTAGTTAAGGGTGCTGGACTCACATGGCTGACCATGGTGCAAGTCCCAGACCTGGTGGCTTGCTTACTTGCTTTTTTTCTCTCTCTGTCCTTCTTTGGTATGCATGTGTAAATAAAATAAATACATTTAAATAAAGTAATTCTTAAAAAAGAAAAAAGACCTAGGTTCTAGTTCCAGCTCCGCCACTCGGTGATCCTAGGTTGACTTAATCTTTCTGAAGCTTAAGTTTTTCATCTATAAAATGGGGAGAATAGTGATTGTCCTGTGTGACAGACTTAGTTATTTTTAATAGCAAATTGGATAACTGGTAAGTGCTATAAAAGTATAAGGTGTTGTTTTCAGTTCATAATAATGGCCTTAATGTATTAAGAGAAAGTTAGATTGGGTGGGGGATAGTCTAAGAAAATACCTTTTGTGACCATTATAAGATGAATTTTATGTGGTCCTAAAGCAGCAAGTTTCACTTCTCAGGAAAGTGTATTCACATGAAAGAGCTCCATAGTCCCTGGTGGGGCAGAATGAAACGTACCTAACCCTAGACCAGAAGGCAGAAGACTTGGGGCTGCCGTTTACCTTATTCATGACCTTGAGTGAGACATTTAACTGTTATTTCCTCACCTGGAAAATTGCAGTAATCCTGTCTAGACTGCACTGTGGTGTGTCATTGTGAGGCTCAAATAAGATGATGAATGTGAATTATGTTATAAGTGGAAAAAGTATTGTACAGAACATGAGGGATGATAATAATCACTGTTATCATTGTTACAAATTGAGATGTCGTTATAGTTAACTACTTTGCAAGTTTAATGTATTTGCTCACAGGGAAAGATGTGGTATAGCCTTCTTATTTTATTTCTGTGGTTTTCACTTGTCCTTATGATTTGAATTTCAGAAGGAAGTATTTTTCTGCTTTAGATATCACTCTACCTGATTCTTCTATTTTGATTTCCTAAGGTCTCTTTTTTCCCACTTCACCCCTAAACAAATACTATAGGAACCCACCTGGGTGAAAGACCTCTTTGCCCTCTTCATGTGGGGTATATGTTTGAGCCTGATTTGATCACCTGTCTCGTGATTTATATAATTCTTTCTTGGTGCAGGTTTTTAACTGCTTCCGAAATGTTCATTCAACGGTTGATTGCCTTAGTATTGCCTTAGTATTGCTTGTCAGCTGTAAGGTTGCTCCCCCCCCCACCACCACCACCACCACCAGCAGTGTCCTCCAAACTCAGCTTCTGGAAAGGGTACTGCATCTGCATGTGCTAATTTATGCAAATCACAAATGGAAAAAGTGTCAAGACTTAGAGGTCAGGGTTGTTTCCATGTATGTAATCTTGGAAGTTGGTTTTTTTTTTTTTTTTTTGCTGATTTTTGTATCCTGTGTAACTTCTTTAACTTTGAAAAGTATGATATTAAATAAGTGATGCAGTGGAATCTACCCCTTGACCTACTTTCTGTTAAAGTATTCTGAATATAGTTTCCTCCTCCCCCACCCTCTTTTATTGCCAGAGGATTTTTGCGTTTACCAGGAAGAGAAAGTACCCTCCAATGAAGCATGGTCAAGCCATGATCCCCTTTTCTCCTATTTTTCCATCCTATCAGAATTTTGGGCACATGCATGCATGCAGGCATGTGCACACATGTTCTTGGTGTGTTTTTCAAGTCACCAATGCTGGGGTTCAAACTATGGTTGACTTTATGGGGCTCCAGATCCCAGTGAGCTTTGGGGCTGACCCTGTAGTTTTCCTTTGATAATTATATAGTTTAAACCTACAGAAAGGAATAAACATAATCAACACTGTGTATCTATGATTAGATTTAACAACTTCTAACATGTTTTGTTTTATTTTCTCCAGAATTTTTTTTTTTTTTAGAAATAAAACATGACAGGTACAGTTAAATTTCCTTTTAGATTTTCTCCTTGTTTCTTTCACTTCCCTCCCTCACTAGAGGCTATGGAACTGTTCTATGCACTTACTACCGCTTATGTGTCTGTCCATAAACACCATCAAGTACTGTTTTATGCAAATAGTACCTCCCAGTATATGTCATTTCTGCAGTTTGCTTCCCTCGATTTGTTCATATTGACATGTGAATTCTAATTTATGAATTTAAAAGATGTTAACAAGTTTAATACGTTTCTTCACAGGGAGGGGTGTAGTAGTCATCTTCTTTTATTTTTGTTGTTATTCATTCATTCATTCATTCAGCCGTCCAGCCATCCATCCATCCATGCAAGTATGCTCACCAGAGAGACAGAGAAAGAGGCAGTGAGAAGGAAAGTGAAAAATCACTTCCCGGGGAGATGACCATATTGCAAGACCTTTTCCTCCATTCTCTTCCTGGGATTTTGGGCATGCATGCACATACGCCTGGCATGATTTTTAAGCGATTGTGTCCAGGAATTGAACTGTGATCTGCCATATGAAAGTCCATTGTCTTAGCCACCATGCCACCTGCTGGCCCCTTTTGTTTTTCTTTTTAATTTTTAAATTTTTTTTTTTTTAAAGAATTATTGGGTCCAGCAGATGGTGTAATGGTTATGTCGCTGGATTCGCATGCAGTTGGCCGTGGTTCGAGTCCTGGTCCCAGCGGCCAGGACTAGGGGCATGTGCATGCATGCCCAAAATTCTGAGTGGAGGAATGGAGGAGAAGGGATTGCAATGTGGCCATCCCCTTGGGGGGTGATTTCTCGCTTTCTGTCTGCCTCTCTGGTGAGTGCACACACCCTGTAGCAATAATCACTTAGGGGCTGACAGGTAGAGTGGTGGTTAAGGAAAGAATTATTTTATTGAACTTTATTTAATTTATTGCCTTTAATTTGACCAGAGAGGGACAGAGAAAGAGAGAGAGAGAAAGAGAGAAAGCAAGCTGTCAGGTCTGGTACTTGAACCACAGTTGGCCATGTGGGAGTCCAGTACCCCTTAACCACCATACCACCTCCTGGCCCCTATTATTATTATTATTTAATTTGCTATAAGGCATATACGCTTACCAGAGGGAGAGAGAGAGAAAGTGAGAAAGCAGGCCACCAGGTCTAGGACTCAAACTGTGATCGGCCATGTGGGAGTCTAGTACCTTACTACCACATCACCTGTTGTCTCCATTGTTTTATTTTTTAAAGAACTAGTGTGCCCATGTGTAGAGAAGAGAGACAGAGACAGAGAGAGAAACACTTTTCAGAGAGTCTAGTCTTGCCAGGATTCCCTTCTTTCAGTTCATTATAATCTTGGGCACAACATTCATGCCTGGCTTGTTTCACAATGATCTGGCCAAGGATCCAGACCATAGTCAGCCATGTGGCTTCCAACACTTCAGTCCAGTACTCTGTGACTGTGCCACCAGGCTGTGCCCCATGGAAGATTTTGAATAGAGAAGCAACATTGAAATATTTACATTTTAGAACAGTTTTAGTAGCCAGGTGAAGGTGTGATTGAAAATAAACAAGGGATCAGTTTGGAGATGCCATTATTAACACTCATAAGATATTGTAGGCCTGACCTTGGGAAAGAGCGGAAGGGAAAGAAGGGTAAAGATAAGTGTAAGAAATATTTTAGAATTAGGGTCAGAAGGACAAGAGAAATGAGTAAATATGGGAGCTAAATTCAGAGAGTCAGCCATGCCATGTAGGTGTCTCCTTGGAAAACTGCAATAGTATTTATAAGAGGCAGAGCAATTTGGCAACAAAATACCTCGGTTTTCAGTGAAATACCTCCGTTTTCAACATGACTAGGAGATACTGTGTATAAGTAGTTATTCTCATCAACTTGATTTGAATAGTATTTCCCTCAGTGTGCTCTTCTGAACTCTCTGTGTAGATAAGTATCAGCCTGATACAGAACTTCCAGTGACCCAGAGGTTGGAGAGTGAGCTTGATGCGTTAGATGTGGATTTCCTTCTGGAAGAAGCTCCATCGATTCTAGACCCACATGGAGGCTTCAAAGATGAGCCATTAGCACCAGCCAAAACAAGAGCAGTGAGGATGAAGCCCATGACTGACAGTGTGCCATTTAGGAAGAAAGATACTCCTGCGCCAGCAAGACTGCACCAAGTATGAAATCATCCTCCTCTTTTATTCCATTCTTATTAATCTGCCACTGGCCAAGGTCACGCAAGCTAGGAAGGGTGGAGCAAGCATTTGAGTTCTCAGACGGTTAGCAGCTTGAGTCCAACTATCCAGGCTGACTCAGTTTAGCTCCAGGATATTTTCCTATTTTACCAAGAAGTAGCAGTTTTTGTGTGTTCCTAGAAGAAGGCACTTTGGGGGACCAGCAGGTGACGTGGTAGTTAAGGCGCTGGACACTCCCACATAGCTGACCAAGGTTCAAGTCCTGGACCTGGTGGTTTGCTTTCTCACTTTCCCTCTCTCTCTCTCTCTTTCTTTCTGTGTGTGTGTGTGTGTGTGTGTGTGTGTGTGTGTGTGTCTGGTCAAATTAAAGTAATAAATGAATGAATAAATAAAGTTAAATCATTCTTTTTTTAAAAAAAAAAGGCACTTTCTCTTGTCCTAGCTTAGTGAGATTTTAACTAACTTAATACCTAATTAGCAGGCTTTTTAAAAAGACAGTTTTCTGGAACCAGCAGTTAATGTAATGGCTTATATCGCTGAACCCCCATGTAGTCGACCATGGTTCGAGTCCTGGACCTGGCAGTTTAAACTCACGCCGGGTGCATGTGCGTGCATGCCCGAGATCCCTAGAGAATGGAGGAGAAGGGATTGCTGCGTGGCCATCCCCCCGGGGGGGTTATTTCTCGCTTTCTGTCTCTCTGTCTTTCTGGCCAGTGCACGCATTCTATAGCAAAATAATAATAATAATAAAAAATAATAATAAGCCTCTAAAGAAAAAAAAAGTTTTCTTTTGCTTCTGGGTTGAATGTCTGAGATTTGCAGGGATTAAGAATTGGTTTCTGGGGAACTAGCAGTTAGCGTAATGGCTATGTCGCTGGACTCCCACGTAGTTGACCACAGTTCGTGTCCTGGACCCGGTGGCTTAAAACTCATGCTGGGTGCGTGTGCGTGCGTGCCCAAGATCCCGAGAGGAGAATGGAGGAGAAGGGATTGTGGCGTGGCCATCCCCCCTGGGGGGGGATTTCTCGCTTTCTCTCTCTCTGTCTCTCTCTCTGTCTGGTGAACGCCCACGCCCTGTAGCAAAAACCTCTCAAAAAAGAAAAAAAAAAGAATGATTTCTTTATTTAATTCAGTTCTTCTAATATGGCATTGAGAGCTACCTGGGTGGTTAGAAATTGGTTTGAAAACTACATTTTATGTGTATGTATATATGTGTGTGTGTGTCTGTGTGTGTGTGTATATATACACATATATATGTACACATACATACTTTCTTTTTTTTAAAGAATTATTTCTTTATTTAATTCAGTTTGTTACTATTGTTCAGATTTGACCAGAGAGAGAGAAAGGGAAAGTGAGAGCAAGCTGCCAGGTCTGAGACTCAAACTACAGTCAGCTGGGAATCCAGTGCCTTTAACCACCACGCCTCCTGCCAGCCCACAAATTATATTTTAAGCTTTGTATTTAAAATTTACTTAAGGCCCTAACAGTGGAAAAGTGGCCAGGGAACCAGCAGTTAGCGTAATGGCTATGTCGCTGGACTCCCACGTAGTCGACTGCGGTTCGTGTCCCGGACCCGGTGGCTTAAAACTCACGCCGGGCGCGTGTGCGTGCATGCCCAAGATCCCGAGAGGAGAATGGAGGAGAAGAGATTGCGGCGTGACCATCCCCCCTGGGGGGTGATTTCTCGCTTTCTGTCTCTCTGTCTCTCTCTGTCTGTCTGGCGAGCACACGCGCCCTATAGCAAAAAAACCTCTCCAAAAAAAAAAGAAAGAAAAGTGGCCAGAAGACCACCTTCTAGTCTGAGCACCCTTAACTGTATTACTGCTGTTTGATGTTGCTGTCAAATGTATGTAGCAAACCTATATATGAGGGGGATTTAAAATGGAAAATGGAATTAAAGTGTGACTTTATTATGATGCAAAAAATTTTGAAGTCCAATGCAGTTTTTTCATGATGTGCATTTTTCATGAGCTTTTTAAAGTTCCACTTATATGTCAGGTAGTCCCAGAAAAAATTAATTTAGCAGTTACCACCAGGTCACAAATTAGGATCAGGTCTTTGGGGCTTATTAGGAAGTCAGGATTGAGCCTGTAGAAATGCAGCTCAGTTGTTGGGGCTGACTGGTATCACGGTGGTTAAGGGCACTGGACTCCCACACGCCTGACTGTGGTTTGAGTCCCAGACCTGGCAACTTGCTTTCTCACTTTCCCTTTCTCTCTCTCATTCTGTCTCTGGTTATATTAAAATAAATAAATAAAGTTCAATAAAAAATAGTTCTTTAAGAAAAAGAAAAAAGAAAAGAAATTCAGTTCAGTTGTGATCCAGAGATAGAGCTTTGTTCTCTGTGCCGTTTTAAAATGGGTGGTTAATTTTAAGTCTCAGAGAAGTTAAATGTTTTAACCAAGAATGTTGTGTAATTTACCTCTAAACAATATGGGATAAAAATGTTTTGGTTTAACTAAAAAAAAAATACATAAGTGAATATATTAAAGTTTATATATTTAAGAGTGGCAAAGGCAGGGATTCCTACTCTCCACTCCCCAGCCAGGGTTGCTTCAGTGCAATTATTCCTTCCCTCAAATTCTGCCACAGTGCTTTCTGCATAGGTTTACTGAGTGGATACATGAATAGCATAGAGAGATTTGAAGCTTCAGTGAATGAGAGGTTGAAACCAGAGTTTCTTTAACATTTGTTTGGCTTTATAAATTTATATTTGTCTGTACAGGGACTCTGGAAAGCTGAAAGAAGTAGAGCAAGCCAACCTCTCAGCAAAAGTAGGTTGCAGCAGACAACAGTTTCATCTAGATTAAAAATGAACCAGCAGCCTGCAAAGGACCGCAGGGCTCCATGGATACCTCCACACCCCACATCTCCACCAGCATCTCCAAAATGGTATGTGAAAATTCAAAAGGCCATTGGATGTGCGGTTTTATTTTCCTCCATATAACAAAAGTGACTTGTAGCTGAGAACAAATGAAGTAGCAACCTTTATTCATCTTATTAGGAAGAAATGCTAATGTGGATGAGTAATACATAGAGGAAGCCTATTGAATCCTTTTTCTACCTGGCTGTGGTTGGAGTATCTTCCCTGTGAACATTTGTCATCATATGGAGGAGCTTGGGCTTCCCTTCATTTGTCTCTTCCCTTGACAGATCCTAGTTACTTGTGGTCAGGGTAGGCATTCAGGCACATAGTAGGCATTCAGCAAGTCTTTGCTGAGTGAATGACTATTTTAAAATAATTATAAGTGGGTAATGGCAGGTGGCATGGTGGTTAAGAGTGCTGGACTCCCAAACAGCTGACTGTGATATAAGTCCTGGACCTGGCAGCTTTTTTTCTCTCTTTCTCTCTGTTGTGTCCCTCTCTGGTCAAATTAGAAAGAATGAAAGAACGAAGGAAGGAAGGAAAGAAGGAAGGAAGGAAGGAAGGAGAGAGAAAGAAAGAAAATTAAAATAATTCCTTTTAAAAGATTAAAAAATAATTATAATTCTAAGTTACTTATGAACTATAAAACCATCTGGTTCTCATTGATATTGACACTGTTCTAACTATAGGGGAAAGTTAGGGTAATGCTAAAAGCACTGTCTTGCCACCCTCCTTCATAACATAGCACATGGAGAATGAGAAGCTGCCTTCCACAAGGCTAGAGAGAAGATACTCTTCTCCAGAGGGAGCAGGGTTCAGTTAGGTGGGAATAGTCTTGGAATTGGTTGAAGTAAGGGGGAGCTTGTTTGCTGTGGGAAAGTAGATCCTGAAAGCATAGTGGAAAGGCCCAAGAGGTAGAATCATACAAAGAAGGAAGCAAAGGCAGTAATGTGGGAAGGGGAACAGGGAGAAGATAGGGGACTAGAGGGGTCCACCTTTGGGAGGTCATCAGAAGACAGGGTAAGCATGGGACCAGCATATGACATGATGGCTATGTCGCTGGACTCCCATGTAGTCGACCGCGGTTCGCGTCCCAGACCCAGTGGCTTAAACTCATGCTGGGCACGTTTGTGTGCATGCCCAAGATCTTGAGAGGAGAATGGAGAAGGGATTGTGGCGTGGCCATCCCCCCTGGGGGGTGATTTCTCGCTTTCTGTCTCTCTCTCTTTTTATCTTTCTGGTGATCGTACCTGCCTTATAGCAAAGCCTCTCAAAAAGAAGACAGGGTAAGCAGCCTGGAGGAAACAAGTCTTCTTAAGATTTCAGAGGATTTTGAATGAGTGGTTGAAGTTATCCATTAGCACTCATTTTAATTGTATAAACAGATAATATCTTACTCGTGTAGCAGAACTGGGACTGAAATCAAGTCTTTTTTTGCTAGAGGGTGCGTACCCTCCCCAGAGAGAGAAAGGGGAGAAGCGGAAAAGCTCCACTTTATGGTTGGGGGGACAGTCACACTGTAATCATCCTTTCCCTATTCTCTTTTGGGGATTTTGGACATGTACACATGCCACCATGTCAAGGACCTGAACCACACACAGTTGGTCATGTGACATCCAGCCTCCCCAACCACCATACCACTGGCTGGACCCTAGTCTTCTGACTTCATAATGTACCTTTTTGTTTTTATTACTGTATGCTGATTTGTGTTTTTATAAGTAAGTACTAATACACAGATACAAATTCATTTGGTGAGCTCATAAAGAATATCTACTGAGGGCCAGCTGGTGGCATAGTGATTAAGGAGATGGATCCTGCATGGCTGACTGTGCAGTTCAAGTTTTAGACCCGTGGCTTGAAAAATATACCAGGCATGTGTGCAAGCATTCTCAGACTCCTTAGAGAAGGGATTGGGGTGTGGCCATCTCCTTGGGGATGATTTTTCACTTTCACTCTCTCCGTCTCTGTCACTGGTGCGCACATATGCCCTATAGCAAAAAATTAAACAAACTAAAATACATCTGGTTGAAGTCTATATTATATTGCAAGCCAAATATATTTGGTGTTTGGGGAAGTCATGATGCATTTTTGCATAGAAAAACACATCATGACCTTCCGGACAACCTAATACATTGGACTGTTTTTACATATGCAGGGCACATGCGGGGAGGAGTGATAAAGCTTTTAGGCTCATGGTGCTGTTAGGCCCTATTAATACAGCATATAAAAAGTGACTCAAATCTATTACAACAGGATTTTATTGATGCTCACCCAGTATTCTATAATTGACAATTGGTTTTTCATTTAAAATAGCAGTTGCTTCTTTGAAGCAAAAGAGAACTTCTCCTCTTTGACATGGAGCCTGAGTGCTGGAATATCTCACTCTTTACGTTCAGTCTCCAATTTAGGGCCCCGTGCTATAGATCACCACTAATTTAATGCTCTTCTGTTCTCTGAGCTAACACCTTGGGATGAGTCATTGGACATGGAATGAATGATTACAAAGGTGTACTTTTCCGTTTTTTTGCAGTGCTGCGTGGCTAAAGGCAAAATCTAGCGCAAGAGATGCCACAAAAGAACAGTCTCTGCAGCAAGAAGATACTCATGAGGAAAGTCAGTTGGGAGGTGCTGTCGGACACAAAGCAGCCAGGTTTGTGCTGGAATTCTTCAAATCTTTGACAATTAAAAGATTCCTTTTACATAGACTGAAGTGAACCTTTTGTTCGCTTTCCTGTGTATAAAGTTGTTTATTTAAAATGTTGGCTGCTAGGCCTTTTTGTCAAACTATACAACTTACAGAGAAGTCTCTTTTATTCATTCAAAAATTATATGTGTGCCAATTGTGTATCACTTGCCAGTTTTGTATATGGCACAGTTCTGAGCTCTGTGGAGACTTAAAAAAGGGGACGGATAAACTATGTATAGTCAGTAGAGAAGTTCTATCATTAACTGTAATTTAAGATGGAATATGGGGGAACCAGCAGTTAGCGTAATGGCTATGCCGCTGGACTCCCACATAGTCGACCGTGGTTCACATCCCGGACCTGGTGGCTTAAAACTCACGCCAGGCGCATGTGTGTGCGTGCCCAAGATCCCGCGAGGAGAATGGAGGAGAAGGGATTGCGGCATGACCATCCCCTCTGGGGGGTGATTTCTCGCTTTCTGTCTCTATGTCTCTCTCTCTCCGTCTGGCAAGCGCACGCACCCTATAGCAGGGAAAAAAAAAGAAAAAAAACTCTCAAAAAAAAAAAAAAAGATGAATTATGGTACATACCCCAAGAACTAAATGGTAACCTGAGAGAGTTTGGAAAGGGGTAGGTTACTTTTTCTACAGAGATCTGAGCTTCATGTTAGAAACTAAAATAGATGATAGAAATTAAAATAGAACTTGAAGAAAAGGCTGTATTGGCCAGCAGATGACGTTACATCTCTGGACACGCACATGGCTGACTGCAGTTCGAGCCCCAAATCCAGTGGCCTGAAACTCACACTGGGCCTGTGCATGTACATGCCCAAGATACCAGGAGAATGAAAGAGAAGGGATTGCAGTGTGACCATCCCCCTGGGGGGGTGATTTTTCACTTTTCCTCTCATTGTCTCTCTCTCACCTTCTCACCCCCTCCCTTTCTCCCTGGGAGCACATGCACCGTAAGGCAAAACCTCTTAAAAAAAAGAAAGGAAAAGGAAGGGAAGAAGGAAGAAGGAAAAGGCAGTATTTAAATATGAGGGAACGGGGCCAGCTGATGGTACAGCAGTAATGCAGCACTGCCATGCTGGACCAGCACTGCAAGATTCCAGGTTCATATCCCGAGGCTCCTCTGTATGTGTGTGCATACCTGTGTGGATTGGCATGAAGACCCTGTTGAGGGTGCCTTTCTGTGTTTCTCCTCGCTCCGAGGAAATAAATTTTATAAACTACATATATGGGGACATGAGAATGTGTATTTTGTAGGAAGAGAGCAGTGAAGAGATTTAGCTCTGCAGTTGTTCGACTGAAATTATTCTTACAATTATGGAAAATCAAAATTGAAAGTAGGCCACTAAATAATTTGATAATATTCACACATTCCAAAGCAAGAGAATCAAAGCCTTTTCATATGCAGTAAAGTTGTTCAGAGTTAACTTTTCTCTTTTGTTTTTATTTGACTTCACTGCCTACATGGCTTCTCTGGGGGTTTATTTCTTTGTATCTAAACTTGAAGGTAAAGTAAGCCTTTATTTTAGTTGAACAAGAAATCTAAAGTACGGTGGTCGCTAGTTTCCTTGAGAACATTCGTAGGCAGTCTCTTGTTGCTCTGTATACTGGCTTGAAGGGCTTTTGCTCCTAAGTGCTTCATTACATGGATCATTAGTTTCATAGAGAGTTTTAGGGGTACAAGGAGGTTACATTACCTACTGAGTCCTTAATGGAGCCAGGACTGGCACTCTGGGGGACAACCTGGCTTCTGCTCTGTTTCCGTGGTAATGATACCCTACGGCGTTGAGGCAGAACTGGTTTGAATCTTTTGTACTGTCTGCTAGGCTCGCTTGGCTAAATGTGGAAACTTCCAAAAGATTGAAGGAACTGGAAGAATTGGAAGCCAAAGAAATGTCCAACATGCAAAAACAGAGGTAAATACCTATGTTTGAGATAAAGAAAGGGAAGCAGGCCTGTTTCAGATTATTTGTTTTTATTTATATATGTTTTAAAAGGTTTGTCGGGATTGTGTAGGTGTAACCACACTTCTCATGTTTATTGCCTGACTGCCTACTTAAAAGATCGAAGTCAGGACCAACAAGTGGCATAGTGGTTAAGGTGCTGGATTTTCACATGGCTACCACCGTTCAAGTCCCAGACCTGGCAACTTGAAAATCACACAGAGCACATGTGCGTGCCTGTCCAGAATCCCAAGAGGAAATTGAAGGAGAAGGGACTGTGGTGGGCTGTGCCCCCAGGACTGTGGTGGGCTGTGCCCCCCAGGGGGTGATTTCTCACCTGTGAGCACCTGTGCCCTATAGTAAAAACTAAAAAGAAAAAAAGAAAAAGAAAGACTGCAAAAATCACCTAAAAAGCTTACCATCAGGACAAGATTGAAGCCCAAGGGAGGCCTGATTCTGCCTTGAGGAGACCTGGGTTACTCATTTTGTTCTGTCCTCTAGGCTCGACTGGCTTGATGCTGAAACTTCCACAAGAACAAAGGAACAGAATGAACTCAAAACTGAGGAAATAGATAGACTCCAAAAATTAAGGTATGTTTGCTCCTGAGGAAGAATAGTGGATGCTTGTCTGTTGTACTTGATCTAGATAGTTTTAACAACCAACCTAGACTGTTTATATGTAACCTTATATGAATGTGTGAATGAAAGAGTATGTGAATAACTCACATGTGTCCATGTAATAAATATATTATACCATATTTTTGCTAGAGGACATGTTTCTTTTACGTGGAATTTAATGGAGAACTGAAAAGGCATCTACAGTTTTGGGGAAGTTCTATCTGAAAGATCAGTTTTACATCCTCTTACTTGTGCTGTGCTCAAAGGTACTTTTTTTTTTTGGAGAGGTTTTTGCTATAGGGTATGTGTGCTTGCCATACAGACAGACAGAGACAGAGAGATAGAAAGCGAGAAATCACCCCCCCCCAGGGGGGTGGCCACGCCACAATCCCTTCTCCATTCTCCTCTCAGGATCTTGGGCACACGCACACACGTGCCTGGCGTGAGTTTAAGCCACCGGGTCTGGGACTCGAACCACGGTTGACTAATGGTCGACTACGTGGGAATCCAGCGACATAGCCATTATGCTAACTGCTGGTTCCTCAAAGGTACTTTTTATTAGCTAGATGTCCATCTTGTGAAGCTGAAGCTTAGTATGATATACATATTCTGCTCATGGGAGTGAATATATGGATACTTTTATTTCATGTGTTAACTTGAATGCAGACTAAGGTTTCAAGTGAGATTTGCCTTTTCCATTCTTTCTGTAAGAATGTCACCAATTAACCACAGGCAAAAAGAAGGTTTTGACTTTTATTTTTATTTTAAGAGGTTTTTGTGTTAAGGTGCATGCACTCACCAGAGAAAGAGAAACCGAGACAGAAACAGTGAGAGGAAAAGTGAAAAATTACCCCCCAAAAGGAATGGCCATGCCACAATCCCTTCTTCTCCATACTCTTCCTGTGATCCTGGGTATGCACACACATACCTGGCGTGATTTTCAAGCTACAGGGTCCAGGGACTCCAACCACAATTGGCCATGTGGGAGCCCAGCAATGTAACTGCTATGCCACCTGCTGGTTCCTATAAAGAAGTTTTGGAAAGGTGTAGTTGAGCTTCTGCTGCTGCAAATGACTCATTTTTTCAGTTCTGCTCATATAGGTTCACTGATAATCTTGTAATTTACCCTAAAGTCAAATGAACATTCTTTGAAACAGCAGGTGTCACCCTTCACCATAGAGTCCCTGTTGAGAAGAGCCTGTTGGCCCTCCTCTGCCATTGGAGGGCCAAGAATGTTTGTCTGTACTTAAGATTTCAAATTAGATAATCACAGGATTTTAGGATTTTTTTTCCATTTTTTAAAAAATTTACATTTAATCACATATATCTTTACAGTGTACATTTCTTTTTCCAGCATGAATACCATCCATGTTAGTCAAGACAAAGAGATTACTGTATATGTTATCATCAGCAAATAGCAAATAGCTTCTCATTTGTTTGACAATTAAACATACTTTTACTTTTTTTCTTCCCCTTTCCCTTCCCTCCCTCACTCCCATACTTTTTTTCTCACATTTTATTGATTCACTAAAGATCTTAATTAAACTAAATATATGGATAAAGCTAAAGTCTAGTAACAAGTGCACTATAATTTTCTTCTGGAACATTTTTATCCCTCTCTATTCCCTTTTTACTAAAGAGAGACATTAACTTACTTACAAAATATATATGTGTGTGTGTGTGTGAGAGATAAACCCATAATACACTTAATTTGCCTGCCAGCATAGTGTCTGGCATTCAATATTTAATGAATTAATTATGGTATAGAAGATAAAATAAAAATTTCAACTTCACTAATCTAAGCTTAATACTTAAATACAAAAATATAATTCTGATCAAATTGCTAAAATTTCTTACTTTATTTCTTTTTTCTTTGGTGGAGTGAATATCAAGAGACATCTTGGACTAGTGAGATATATCAGAATTTTGGGTGGGAAGGAAAAATTATATTACGTACCTGGTCACTTATTTTAAATCCACCTGAGCAAAATTTTGTCTGATGCAAGGCAAAAAATGTTGTTGTTTTATTGAACTTATGCAAATAATCATTCTGCCACAAAATAAGAATACTCACAAATATTTTCCAGTTGCAGAGGAGTCAGGAAGGGGGAAGAGTTTATGTTTCAATTTTAAAAAGAGTTTAACAAATTGCTGAACCTATCAGCAACTCAAAAGAACACCAACATCCTTAAATCTAGAAGACAAAAACATAGGAAAAAATCAGTAATGTTTTAGTCAAAAGTCATAAAATTCTATATCACCAGTTCAGTCTCATGTAATTAATCTCTCTCTTATTGAATTTGCAGTATTACTATGGTCTAGTCTTTCTGTTTAAATCCTGAAAGTTAGTATTCCCAACGTTATTACTGATCTTTTTGGACTTGTTCTTACCATTAAGTTGGCCATTTTCTTGGTTGTTTTTTGTTCTCTTTTTCCTGTCTGTCTCTTTAGTTTTCTTGGTATAGCACTCCTTCAGAACTTCTTGAAGAGTTGGTCTGGTATTGATAAATCCTTCCAGGTTTTGTTTATCTGAGAATGTTTTTATCTTCCTTTATGAAGAATACTCTTGCTGGATATAGTATTCTTGGTTGAAATTGTTTTTCCTTTAAAACTTTGAAAATATTTTCCTATTCTTTCCTTGTTTGCATTGTTTCTGATGAAAGGTCCGATGTTAGCCTGATGGAATAACCTTTGTAAGTAACTGGATGTTTCTCTTTTGCCAATTTTAGTATCTTGTCTTTATCTGAAGTTTTGGCTATTCTGGCTCTGATGTGCCTTGGAGAAGATCTTTGTAGGTTGATTCTGTTTGGGGTCGTTTGTATTTCTTGGGTCTGGATATTTGAGTGCTTCTCTAGATTTGGAAAGTTTTCTTCCAGGATTTTATGGAATAGATTCTCAATGTCCTTATTAGTTTCTTCACCTTCTGGGATACCAGTTATCTGGATGTTTGGACCCTTAATGATATCTAGTATCTCACATTATTCTCATTTCTTTTGGGTTATTTTTTCACGTCCTTTTGGTGATTTTTTTTTTTTTTTCTAGAACAGAGGTTTTTGTCTTCTACATCTGAGATTTGACCTTCTGCATGGTCTAGTCTGCATTTAATACTTTCAAGGGAAGTTTTGATTTCCTATATTACTGCCTTCATCTCTAACAGCTCTGTTTGTTTCTTTTTTAGGGTATGTATTTCTTCTTTCAAATTATAGAAGAACTTTCTCATCTCCTGGAACTGATTGTCGCTTTTCTCTTTTATCTTCTGGAGTTATTGTCTCTCTTTTCTTGGATCTCAGTTAGTTTTGTCACTATGAAAATTCTGAATTCATTATCTCACATTTCCACAAGTTCCATTGGATGATGAAGGGCTGTTCTTTTTCCTTGGAGGAGAGATATTTTCTTGTTTTTTCATATTTTCTTGTTTATTTTTTTCTTGTGCCTCTGGCAGTTTCTGGTCATCTGACAGATTATATGATTCTTCCTAATTTCTTGGAATTAATTCTGAGCATTAAAAGTGTTTGGGAGGAGATGACCCACAATATCTCTGCAGTTCTGTGTCCCTGATGCTCACCAAGCAACCTGAACTTTTGTTGTTGGAATTGGATATTACAAAGGCCTCCCAGTTTCTTTTTTTTTTAAAGAATTATTTTATTTAACTTTATTTATTTTAATTTGACCAGAGAGTGACAGAGCTAGAGTGAGAGCAAGAACAAGAGAGAGAGAGAGAAAGAGAGAGAAAGAAAACAAGCCACCAGGTCCAGGATTCGAACCATGGTTGACCGTATGGGAATTTGGCACCTTTAACCACCATACTTCCTCCTGGCCCCAAAGTCTTCCCAATTTTTAAAGAACAAGTGCACCCGGGCTGAGCTACAGGGTTTCAATGGAGATTCAGGGGTGTATGGGAGGAGGTGAGCACTTTCTCTGCAGCTCCATATTTATCCCTGCTGCTCACTTTGCAGTCTCTCTTCTCTGATTTTAGTCCTTTGGTGGTGTATTCACATTTGGCTGATATGGAGGTTTCTGCAACTGTAAGCTCATGTGCTTCACTTTACTGTAAGGCACTTCTATGCCAATTTCTCTCCTCTACTGTGTTTTGCAACATGATATCCACAGAGAGAGATTTGAGTTCAGATTTATGAGAATGAGTTTCTCCCTTTCTGCAACAGATTCAGTGGGGGTTGAGGTTTTCTATGACTTTAAATATATGCAATCTTTTGGCTACTGTGCACCTAGACCTTTCTAGACTCTTAAGGGCATGGAAGCTGAGAAGCAAATTGAGGAAGTCAGGTAAAATAAAAGAAAACAAAGGAGAAAAAAGACAAAAACAAAAAAGGGTGAACAATTTTTTTTTTTTTAAAGAAAAAAAAGTATGTGGCATGCAGGTGTGCCACACTGAAGGAGCAGGACAGGCCCATCTCAGATGTGGATGGATTCTGAAATAGCAAGATAAAGGAGAGGTCAGAGATAAGAGACAGTACTTATAGATTTTTCTAGAGAAAGAGACAGAGACAGAAAGAGACAGAGACTTCCCTATTTGGTTAGGTGTTGGGGTGGAAGGAGGGGTTAGGAGTAGAGGCTCCTCAGTTAAAGGAGCAGAGCTGGTGCCACCTCAGATGTAGATGGATTCGGCGAGGTGTTGGGCTGGAAAGCCAGAATTATAGGATTTAAAAGGTCTCTCCTCTCCACTGTGTGTTCAAACACAACCACCATGGGAAGGTCACTGTATAAGGGAGTTCATTTCCTATTACTCTCTGGCTGTTAGAAGGTATGACTTTACATTGTGCTGAAATTTGCAATTTTTTTGGGGGGGGGGTTGTGGTTTTATTTAGAAACAAAGAAAATGTGCACATGAGCTGTCCACTCATTTTCTTCACTGCGCAGCCTGGCATTGGGATTGGTGACTCTGAGGGCCAGCTGGGCAGCTCTTTCCACGATGGTCTTGTGGTTCTTGGAGGAAACATTGTGGGCGATCTCAG